TTGACAGCAATGAGCAATGTAGACACTGGCTATCAAAAATGGGGTGCTTCCAATCCAAAACCTTTTGAGGTGGGACATTCCCACTTGAAAGGACAAGCAGACCATCCTGGAGCAACTAGAGCAACAGAAGATACTTCTTGACAGACAGACCAGCAGGAAAAATCCAAAACAAAAATGTCAATATGATTGGCTACTACAAGCAAGTTGAGAAGATATATCCTCAAAGAAAGATCATCAGGAAAAACCCAAAACAAAAGTGGCAGTATAACTGGCTACTACAAGAATAAGCAAGTTGTTCTCTGGGAAGCCATTAAGGCAAGCAATCAAGTCCCTTCAGGACAAACCCCCTTCTAAAACTGAAACTCGAAGGGAACACATGAGCAGGCATGTAAGCTTGCTGGCGACCACATGGTCTACTGGTGCGTGAAAGAGCAGGAAAGGCAGCAATAAAGAAATCAGCTGAGTTCAACCATGTTCCATAGACTACCATTGACCTGGAGATGAGGGAGAGAAGAGGAAGGGCTGGTAGGTCCAAAGTGTGGTGAGACCTGGGGACAACTGAGCCCATGGACAAGGACATAGCCACAGAGGGTTATAGCTGGGAGTGAAGTATCCAGCTGATATAAAATGAGGGGAGACACACAAGAACACCCAAACTTGAAGACAGTACCCATTTTATCTAACCTCAATGGCTTGATAATCAGAACTCAACTAGAGGAAGATAAAACAGATTACAATTTTTGATAAAGGAAACGAGGGTAAATTGCTACAATTCGATGAACTTGACCTATACTCATGGAGGCAGTAGCTCTAAATACCAACAGAGAGGGAAGGAGTCTTCACATCAAGTATCAGTGCTATCCTCTCTGTACACAGAGTAGATAGGGACAGGCAATGTAGATATTTGCTACCTAAAATGAGGGGGCAATAAAGGCACAAAGTGACTGGCTTACAAAGTTTCAAGATGGAGGTTAGTGTAAGACTGTATGGGGTAAGACAGAGTCCCCACTGAATAGTTTTCATCTTGTCTAGATGGGTCTGGTCAAAGAAGATGGGGGTAAGATTCTTATGATTCAATAATGAGTAATTGTTATCATGACTAATTGCAACGGTCACAATTGTAAAGGTAGAAATTTTGTAACAAAAACGGGGGAGTAGTTAATCTTACAGTCCATAAACAAAGAACCCTAGGGCCATCAAGGGAGAAGAGCACAAGTGGAATACGAGACCTTATCCAGAGAAGCAGTGACACCAGAGATGGAGACAGAGATGGGGACATGGAGAGAGAGAACAGCTGAGGACTCTAGATTCATGGAAAGAGAGGGATTGAGAGCTGGAGGCCAGGAGGCAGACTTGCAGAATGTGCCCTTTGGTGGTGTAAATTATTACATCTGCATGTTAAAAAAAAAAAACAAACAGCTAAAATGAATAGAGAGAAATACTGTTAACTGATGGTACATGGAGGGGATTATAATCATTGTAATGAAACAAAGTATATGATTTGTTGAATGTAAAACTGATGATCTGCCCTGTAAGCTTTCATTCAATTCACAGTAAAACTTAAAAAAAAAAATGAAAAAAACAACAAGCAAGTTGTTCGCCAGAAAGTCATCAAGGTAAGCAATCAGGTCCCTTCAGGACATAACCCCCTCCAAGACTGAAACTCAAAGGGAACACACAAACAAGCATGCAAGCTTGCTGGTGATCACACTGGTCTACTGATGAGTGGAAGAGGGGGAAAGGCAGCAATGAAGATACGGGCTGAATCTGACCACGTTCCATAGACTTCTATTCATCTGGAAATGAGAGAGAGAAGAGGAAAGGCTGGTTGGTCCGAAGTATGGTGAGACCTGGGGACTCTGTAGCCCATGGGCAAGGACATAGCCACAGAGGGCTAGAGCTGAGAGTAAAGCATCCAGCTGATTGATATGAAGTGAGGGGAGATGCACAAGAATGCCCAAACTTGCATATAGTACCCATTTGACCTAGCTTTGATGGCTTGATGATCAGAACTTGACTAGAGGAATATAAAAAAAAAATTTTTTTGATAAAGGAAATGTGTAAATTGCTACAATTTGATGAACTTGACCTATACTTATGGATATAGTAGCTCAAAATACCAACTGAGAGGAAAGGAGTCATCATATCAAGTATCAATCCTATTCCCTCTATATACAGGGTTGATAGGGACAGGTAACTAAGACATTGACTACCTAAAATGAGGGGAGGGGGGCTATAAAGGCATGAAGTGATTGGCTTACAAGTTTTCAAGAGGGAATTTAGTTTCAGAGTGTGAAGGGGAAGGTAGAATCCCCGCTGAATAGTTTTCAACTTGTCTGAAAGGAGATGGGGCTAAGAGTCTTATGATTCAATATAGAGTAATTGTTTATCATGACTAATTGTGATTATAACAAGTGTAAAGGTGAAACATAGAGGGGAGAGTAGTTAATCTTACATTCCAGGAACAGAGGACCCTAGGACCATCAAGGGAGAAGAGTACAAGCGGAATCTGGGACCCTATCTGCTGGGGACAGCACACGCAGACCCTGGGTTGATCAGTGGCAGTCCCATTAAACCGCCTCTGAATATAATCAGTTTAACCCAGATGCTCTCCTTCCTCCTGAAAGTATGTAGGAATGTGATAATTAAGAACAATGTAGCATTTTAGATATTGATAAATGAAGCCCGGTGCCTGA